TGACAACCGAGGTCGTCCCGGTGGAGTAAACTTAAACGTGATTTGACTTAGTGTCGGTCACGGGTCGAGAGCGCGTAATTCCGAGAGCCACCGTTAGCCGAGATAAGCTAAAGTTGCGATTGCTCGATTTTAGTCATTTCTTGGAATTCGGCCCGGGAATCGAGAATTTTGAAAGTGACAATTTTGGACGGCCGATGACGTTTTGGCTTGGCCAACCATTTCGCAAAAAATGGATTTCGGTTCTGGGACCGGAAAATTACGATTTTGCCCTGTGGGCACCGAGGTTGGATTCGGAGGCCGTTTGAGGTTATTTTTCGAGGCTAGTGTCATTTTGGGGTGGCCACGCACATTCGAGTTGTTTCGGTCAAAAATTGGAATTTTGGCTCGGAAGTGAAAAATAATATTATTTTATTCCCTAACTTCGCAATCGATTTTCGAGGACTTAGAAAGTGAATTTCGCGATTCCGACGCCGTATTATGTTGGCCACGCACATATGGAACACGTATGTGCGAAAATTGGAATTTCGCCCGGACCGGAAAATTACGATTTTGCCCCAGGCTTATTTTGAGTATTCCGAATTTTGGGATTTTGGAAATTGAATTTGGGGATTAAGTGTGGATAAATATCAGCCCCAAAATATTGGACAAAAACGCCCTTAGATATTTTGGTTTGGAAGAATGTGGACCAAGTGTTTTAGGGGCAAAATTGGAATTAAGAAAAAATTGGTCAAACCTTGGACCAAATATTTAATTGTTTCTTCCTCTCTCTCTCTCCCTCATTCCCTCTCTTCTCTCGGCAGCCCCTCCCCCAACAGAGAACTCTCTCCCTCTCTCCCTCACCAAAAATCCTCTCATCTCTCTCTCGGCCTTGGACCGCCGATCATTGCCGGAGCATCGCCGGAGCAAGCCGCCACCGCCGATCGCCGCCGGCCAGCCGTTCCCCCTTGCCGCTCTAGCCGAGTTAGTCTAGAGTTCGGGTAAGTCGCGATCTAATTCCTATTTAGGACGTCGGGTATTTTCGGACTCGTTCGGGTATGGTTTAGAGGATTTAGAGGGCGATTAAGGTGTCGATAATGGTTTTTGGTGACTGATCGTGGTTGTTGATGGCTGATGGTGACTGTTAGCGGGTGCTGCGGGTTGGATTAGACGTCGGGAAATGAGTTTAGGTGGTTGGAATTCGGTAGGAATCGGTTCGGGTTTGAATCCGTGAGGTTCGGGGTGAATCGCGGATTCGCGGTTACTGTACCTTCCCGGTTTGCTATTTTTGTAGAGACTTTTGGGGGCCGAATTTGAGGAAATTTTCTTCATAAAAGTTTCTCCCAACATCTTTAAGTATAACATAATTTAATTTGGGAATTTTTGGAAATCATTTGAGACCATTCGGAAGTCCATCTTTGGACCGAAATAAAACTGCCCGATTTACTGTTCACCCGACCTTCGGGTCTGTTCGAATTTTTATAAATTTTTCCAGACCTATTTTCAAAATTCTTCCTTCACAAAAGTTGTTGGGGACATTCGTGGATATAACATATAAAAATTTCAAAGCTTTTCAAGGTGATTTGGGTGTTGAAATAAATGTATTTTGAGGACAAAATATTCTGTTGGAGCAAACTGATTTTGGTCTGATTTCGAGGGACAAAAAGGCATGGTTGCAGTTTGAACCGGATTTTGTGTTCTTCATAAGAAATGATTATCGAGATGTGTTTTGTGACATATCCAAAATTGAGAATTTTTAGAGTTCTTTTACTATTTATTTTGATGAGATTTCGGTCACTGTATAAACTGCCCAATTTTACCCCGATTCTTTGGATGTTCGTTTTTATGAGCGGAATGGTGGGGGTGTCGAGGTTGAATGGTTGCTGCCCTTGTGGCGGGAATTGAGCCTGAATGTGTGTTTGAATGTGGATTGATGATATGCCGTGTGTGTTTGGCCGTGAGATGTGGTGGTGTGATAGTGCATTCGCGTATTGTATTCGCGTGCCAAGAATGTGCGATTGGGTGGCGTGTTCGTGTGACGGGAATTGAGCCTGAATGTGTGTTTAAATGTCATATGCTCTGTCTGTCATAATCATTTTTCTCCTCTTGGGAACCCAATTTAACAAACTTATTTCTTCAAGAAGTACTTGATGATTAATTTTTGAGCTTCGTCCACGTTCAGTATCAGAGTGTGAGTCCGAGCATAATTTATTTGGAATTTTTGGGATTAATAGCTTACACTTTACTTGTTCAGTTTCATTGACAAAGAGAGTAATTAGAAATTCATCATCAGAAGGGAAAAGAGAGATGATACTTACCTGAAGAGCATGGAATGTCTACACATATAATCATAAGTGGGTTTGAATTGTTTAAATACTGCATTTAGCTCGTATCCATATATAATCATAATTTTAAACATGAATTGGCACAATAGCCCTTGGTTTTTTTTTTTTTTTGGTTGACTGAATCAATGAGAAACTTTCATTTTTATTGTTGCATTCATTTTCGTTTTGCTTAACTAAAAATGAAACCAAAAAAAAAAAAAACCTGTTAGATCCTGGAACTGACCCTAAAACTTGTGACAGGGTCGGTTCCAGGTTCTAAGTTCCGACGAGTGGGTTCCAGATTTCAAAAAATGAGAAAGGGTAGGTTCCAAAAAAATGAGGAACCTGTAAATGGAATCTGGAACCGCTCACTTCTAGCTTTAGATCCTCTTTTGAGAAAATGAAGATACTTCAAGCACTTATTTGAAATTTTTTCCTTTTTTTATTGATCGGTTATATGACAAAACTCTGTAGGGTTCAAAATAGTGAGGTACACCTGCTAAATTGCCAATTAGGAACATGATTAATTCATTTATATTTGTTATGGTGACATTAAGTGTAATAATAGGCCCAGCCCAGCCATGTCTCTTGCAGCCCAAATCCCAAGCCCTTAGCCCGCCTTCATTTTCCTTCACAGATTATTCAAGGTGAAGTTAATGAGGCCAGCGGACAAAACAAGGAAAACACAAGAAGAAGCTCGTTCGTGAAAAGAGGAAAAGTAGAAAAGAGAGGAAAGAAGGAAAAATCTTTGCGTGTAGCTGATCTGAATACCCCGACAAGCCGAATCAACTCCGTTTTGCAATGCCTGGTAAGTATTCAAGCCATTTATTCGTCTATTTGGAATAATTTTTGAAGTTAGGTCATAAATTTGGAGTTACGTGAATTTCGAGCTACGAAGTCCGATTTTGGAGTTACTAAGCTGTAGATTTATATGGAAAAGATAATTTAGGGTGTTGTGGAACCATAGGGTTGTACGAAAATCAATTCTGAAATACGATTTGATTGGAACGAATTTCTGAAGTTTCGCGTGCGAGTTATACATAACGGGCAAAGATGAACGTTCGTTGTAAACAAGTTTTTTCGTTAGCGTGTACAAGTCGTTTTTTCAACGAATAAGCATAGTTTAATCGAGTTGTTCATTAGAATAGTGTATTACTCGGTTTTTGATACTGTTTCTCGATTAATTGATAGGAATGCGAGTGCTTCGGCTTGAGTAACTTTCATAGGTTGGTTTCAGCTTTCCCAAGTGAGAGTACTATCTCTTCTATAAATTTAGAAACTCATATCTTGAAAGTGGTAGAGATTTAATATAGTATGAGCTAGGAAAGAGCATATTTTTTGCAAAAATTGGATCGAACTTTTACTACATTTTTAGTTGGTTGAAAAGGCATTAGAAAGCCTTAGTTGAACCACTTTAAAATGATCATTCATAAAGGTCTTGATTAAATGCTTTGTGAAAGGAATTGCCAAATGCGATATGTATTGATTTGTGAAATGCTTTATGAAATGCATTATATTTGATAAATGGAATTGAGAAAGATTATATGATTTGGTTTGTGAAATCAGTTTATGAGATAAATTATGGATTTGTTTTGTGGGTTATCTGAGAATGATATTAGTGGTTTATGCTCATGTCGTCATGATTAGAACCCAATGAGGGGTTAAGTATGCTTACTGTATTAGGACGTCCTTCTGGGCCGAACCACCCGCTAATACAGGTGGAGACCTAGCTAATGGGGTAAACTTAGTCGCCTTTATCACGGGCGTCAAGCGTGATCATAGTTAGATGTTGAGGATTATATTAGTCGATAGAATGGATCATTAACATTTGGCTTGATTGAGAACGATCAATGTAATGGACCATTGATGGTTGATTTGTTATAGTTGAGTTGATATTGTTGATTGATCTTATTGGCAAAAAGCATTGTTGGAAAGATATTATCCACTTTTGATATTTTACATATATTGTATTCTAGATTTGAAATCGATGAGTTATGATATCAGTTTATAAAGATGCATAGTGAATGTTCGATCCGCTTAAAAGTGATGTATTACTCACTAGGCTATGGTTACTCATTCCATTTGTCATAGTTGCGTTTCAGGTTCTTCAACGAATCATAAGTGGAACAAGAGCATTATCATTATAAGGAGGACATTTTGATCGTGGGGACTTTTGGCTATGAGTTGTATAGGGGTATGATGAACTTCTGAGTTAGCTGTTTGTTGGAGATGTATTTATATCTTTTTGATAAATTATAGAAACTCTGATATTGTAACCAGATGACTCTTTTATCGAATATATATATGGATGTATATATATTGATAACACATTGATGATGATTATGTTTAAGGTTGTGTCTTTCGGATGGAAGGACAGCCGTGTCATTGCCTTTGTAGTTGTAGAGTTGGGGGTGTGACATTAAGAACTATTAACCAAAGAAGTGAGTGAAAAGAGGTAAAACGTATGATTCTAGAAGACCCATTGCCTAGAGTCAGTTTCAGTGTCGCCCTTCGCTCTTAATTCATTAATTTTCCACGTTCAAGTCTGCGGGTGAAGTAATGATCCCTGTCTTCTTGAGAGCAAGGTCTCTATTATGAACTTTTATTGCTAAAAAAACGTGAAAAAGGAAAAGATAAAAGGGCTTCTTTTTCATCTCTACATGCAATTTGATAACTTCCTGCAACATAAAATGAGATAGGACAACAATTAGATGATTGCGAAAGAAAGAGAATGCTGCGGCAACAGCAATTTACATGTACAAATCTCGGTTTAAGAGACAGATTGAGCTCAATCAATAGATCAAGGAAATTTTAAAGAGTAGTATATTGTATCCAATCTACATATCGACTTATCTCATAAGCACAAGAGCTACAAGTTAGCTCATATACGACACGATTAGGCTTTAGGTTCCATCTATCTAGCGATACAGGGAGTATCTCAATTTCTCAAGCTGAGTAGATTACGCAGTTCACTTGTGGTGGCATGTGACTAGCGAGCTTCAACAGCAGTAATTGTAACTCCATTAACAGAGCATGTTCTGTTACATCTTGTCTGAATATCTCCGTTGTGGGCACTCTCGTCGATGAACGCAGGCTGTTTCGGGAATGGAAGTACCGCATCAGCATTCCCCAACATGAAAACCACTGTGGACATAGTTGGTCTATCCGATGCATATCTTTGCACGCACAAAAGACCGATTTGAATGCACCTCGATACTTTTTCCTCATAATATGTCTTGTCAATTGATTTGTCGACAATGTCCATGCATTTTCCTCCTTTCCACAGCTCCCATACCTGGAAATAACACATACCAAACACCTCGGACTGTGACAATGCGACTGGTCTAATTGTGCATAGCGTTGAATTATGTAAGAGTTTCATACTTACATGGCCAATTAAATTGCAAAAGGGGTTGATATGATAGCACCCACTATTCCTTTGGCCTGTGACAATCTCTAACAACAAAATTCCATAACTGTACACATCTGATTTTATAGAAAACCGGCCTTGCATAGCATACTCTGGTGCCATGTAGCCACTACAGAAGCCAAAAAGGAGAGAAGTAATCAACATCTCATTCACTGCATAAAGTTCTCTGTTGTTGAATTTTCGGTGACATAACTTAAGTTTGAAAGTTTAGTATGAAAGACAGAGAATGGTTGGTCCGAGTTCTTTTTCTTTGTTCTAATTTCTCATTGTTTAATCAGGTGAAGCAGAATTTAATGCTCAAGAAAAAACACTTACTATGTCCCGACCACACGCCTCGTTTTTCCTTCAATTTGGTCTCCTCCACATATCCTCGCTAACCCAAAATCTGAAATCTTGGGGTTCAATGCAACATCCAGTAAGACATTGCTAACTTTCAAATCTCTGTGGATTATCCTCAAGGTCGAATCCTGATGTAAATACATGAGTCCCCGAGCTACCCCATATGCGATTTCATACCTTTTTACCCAATCCAGAAGTGATCTCTTTGTTTCATCTGGACCAAATATGGGGATTACCACAAGTTATTATCTATAATACTAGCTGTAGAACCGAAATTCTCGCCACTGGAAGAGAGGACTTACCGAAAAGTAATAAATCCAAGCTTTTATTGGGTAAATACTCATAAATTAACAGTTTTTCGTCTTCCTGAATGCAGCAACCTAAGATTTTCACCAGATTCCGGTGTTGGAGTTTGGCAATCAATCTGACTTCGTTCTTGAACTCTTCATTTCCTTGTCCAGAATGTTTCGAGAGTCTTTTAACCGCTATTTCTGTTCCGTTATTCATCACACCCTGTGAAATGAACTCATCACAAGAATTATTATTTAGACCTGTCAGATGAAGTTGGTGGCTCAAAAGCTGTTATGAGTAAATTTTAAGATATACTAGGTAGTTAAACTTTCCGGGAGGATGTGTTGGTAACACTCATTACATGCTGTATAACCTAGAAAACTAAAGAAGCAACATGACTTGTGCTGTTCTCTACTTCTTCTCCTTCGTCATTTGTCAGTCACTTCCTGGATTTGTGATGACGGGTAGAACAGAGTCGCCACAGGACACACCTCCATGTATACAGTGGAAGGAACCAGATTGCAATACCTTCCAAGAATTTCAAAATAGAAAAAGGTCCTCTACAATAAAACTGGCTCGCTTTCGAGCATTTTATTCGAGGACATCAATCGCCATAAGCGACAGACATATGAAGTTGGTAGAAGACGCATATTTAATGTCTAATAACCATTTTAGATTCACTTGAATAGGGAGATTAATTACCTTATATACAGATCCAAAACCGCCTTGGCCGAGCTCATTGACAGAGGAAAAATTGCTTGTGGCTGCAGCTACAATTCCAAAATCAAAGACTGGTATATCTGTTTTTCGTCTCCCTTTGCCGTCGAGGTCTTTCAGACCTGGAAGTGCGTCCAAATATGTTGAGCTTGGGGTAACACTAACAAGATGATTACGCCCTCTTCTATCTGCTGTCAGAAAGTCGAATAAGAAAGAAAATGAAAGCAATTCTGTAATGCTTCTTTGCTTGCCATTCGTCCAATTTGGGGAACTTTTTGTCTAGGAAGGAACCATATAAATTTTCCCTTCAACCATGACCTTATCACTCGTTCGTGAAGATGAACTCACATATGCTCGATTTCAAGTTCAATCACAATACTGCATTATCTAACTGGCGAGCATTGTCTGTGCAGCTTTGTTGACCAAGGTTTTCAGTATAGAAATCATCCACCCATTAGCCTAACATCATTAGCTTTAGTTTAGATTTAATTGATATCTTAGACCTGAACATTGAAATAAAAACCTACTTGTAAAACAGACTTAGTTATGTATATGGCAGAAAAAGCTTCTATCAAGGCTAGATCACCAGACCTCTTTTCCTCTTCAACAGAAGGCAGTACGTAAGGCAGCCCAAGAGCAGCAACACTAGTGCAGATACCAATATCATTGCCACCATCGCCTTCTTGACAAGAATACTCCTTTTCCTATGGCGAGCTGTAAAAGAAGGCACAAGAAGTGTGCCAATGACATGGAACGCACAAATGTTACGGAAATGAATGCAACAAGTGCTGTTTATAAAATGAACTATCAGAAGCAAACAGTTTTGTCAAGACAAGAGATCGGGACAAACTGGGACAATAATTACGACCCACAACAGCAGCAAAAGTAGTTGGACTAATATTAGCATAGAGTACCTAATTCAATTGCATCGACCCGCACATATAAATCTTCACCAAAGTTTGAAAATGCTCTTGTATCCACTAAATGTCCATACCATTTGAGACATCCATATTCCCCCATACTTTTATTTGCACTTGAATAAGCTGTGCAATTGCAATCCCTCAAGCATTCCTGCTCACACTCCTTCAAGCTCAGGCTCATGTCGACATGTGCTGTTGAAGTGTCCGGCAACTTCACCTGATGCACCTTCACGAAACCTTCCCCACTTCGACACACTGATGCACCTTGCCTCCTCTTGCACCCACCTGATGCGTCCTTTAGGCGCCATTCGCCCGGAGACGTGGGCTCAAAGCCGGGCAGGCATGTGCAGTCTAATTGGTCAGCGGTGTTTGCACCACAGTTGCCATTAGGCCCACAGTTCCTGTAGTAGTCACACTGCTCCTTTGGATGATAAGAAAACTCGCTCCACCGCTGCTCTTCATCATGCCATACGAAGTATTTAAGTGACCCTGACTCCTGCACCACATACCTAGAGATAATTGATGTGCCATACATCATAGAAACCTCCGTCCTGTTCCTCACAATTGTGATGGTATAGTTGAAATCTTTAGGCTTCGCGCGATCGGCACCATGAGGATTCTCAATTATTGGTCCGCCCCGCCAATATGGAGTTCGATCCTTGTAAAGGAACGCCTGTGGGTACCCTGTTGGTTCAAACTTGTATGAATAACTGCCCGGGGCTGGATCATCTTCGGACTTCCAAGATGTCACGAACCAGTTCAAACCGGTTCTCCTGTCCAACCCAAGCTTCATGGATGGAAGATAGGTATCTGTGGGATAATCAAAGCTCTGCCAAACAACCACTTTGCTCAAATCATGTTTCAAAACCAGATTACCTGAATCCAAAAGCTGAGCAGTAGTAGAATCATTTAAATTAGTGGAGGAAACATTGGTTGACCAAATGGGCAAGCTCCCATTGTTTTCACGGATCACTAAGTTTCCATGACGATCAAATGCAAGAACTCCTGAAGTATCGTTCACGGGATTTTCTCTGTTAGCAACCCAAACGATGGTTTGCACCGGTTGTCCATAGTACCAAATCCCCATGTAACGCAAGCTTGAATTACCTGGGCTGAAGAAACCGAGAGCGAATTTTCTTGCTTGGGAGATCAAGACATCACCATCTTTCATGGTATCGTTTGGGGCAAGGGTGTCCAAAGAATTAATCAAATGCAGCAGAAGAAATAAAAACAGGACGTGTAATGACACTGTTGGAGTGTTCATGTTGTACTTAGATGGGGATGCAGGGTGCTTATGTTTCAGGCAAGAAAGCAGAGATATATGGCTTTTGCTTAAAACCAAAAAAACAGAAACTTCGATGTAGTTGTGGTTTCAATTGATGAGAGGAACCAACCCATTTTTGACCATCCTTATCAATTGAAAATTCAATATTCAAACTGTACCGTGAAGCGGCGACTTTGACATCACTTGTCCATGCTTGACTCTTCTTCTTCCCTCTCTGGGTGCTCCTTTATTCATTATTTATTTATTTCTTTTTGCCTGCCGATGATTGAGGTGCTTCATTCCTGGACAGACACAAATTCACACAGGTTGGGTAGAGTCTGCATTTACTTGGCCAGTCACATCCTCTACCTTCTCCTTTTTAAAAACCCGCCTCAAAGTCAGGATAACAACACCACAAATACGTTAACTTCTAAGAAATATTCACTTAAGTGCCATAACTTTCGATTGATCACTTAAATGCCAAAACTTTTTAAAAACGTTCACTCAAGTGCTAGAAATCTGACTTGGTATAGCACTTGTGGTGAATGTTTTTAAAAAGTTATGACATTTCAAGTAATTGATTGAAAAGTTATATGGCACTCAAGTAATCAGAAAAAAAAACTTATGACTCTCAAATAAGTGTCATACATAAGTTATGACGTTGTACGAAAGATATGACACATGCTGTATGCTTTTCCAAACCCAAAAGTCCAAGTCAATCGAACATTATTGCTCATGGAGTTGGCACCACTGGAATGCCCTTACAACTCCCCTTCAATTCGGCAATTTACACTATTGGACCGACTATGGAAGGTGATTGAAGCGTCTTTAATGTTGTGTTTACTTGAACTTCACCAATATGGAAGGAAAGATGGGCACAGCATCACCAACGAAGAAGCCGTAAACCACCACAGACTAAACCTGCCATCTTTGGGATCATCTTTCAATCACTTGTGTTCTTTACATGTATACTTTTTCCACATCTAGAAATGAAAAATCAATATATGTTTCTCCATCCTTTATGTTCTTAGTTCCCATCAGCTTATATTTTTTGTGGGTCTGTTTTATTTTATCAAATCACTAACTAGTCACTTTTTTTAACAGTTTCTATTTTGCACCATTTTATTGAATAAGTAATCTCGAAATTTTTTTTGTCATTAGTTTGTACTTTTCTCTAATGAACTGTTGACATACTAAGTGAATCCGTTTTAAATTGTAGATAAGTGGAATGATTATTCATTTTGTAGTAATTAACTATTTGCTTTTCCCACGTCTAAAAATGAGAAAACTTACATTTTTTGTTTCTACTTTTTTTAATAGAAATTATACTGTGTAAATATTTTGTTGACTAATCACTTTTTTTAATGAGTTTATAAAGTCAGCATTATGTTCTTAAGTGAAAAAGGGAATAAGTGTTGAGTAAATTTATAAATTCAGCATTATTGATTAAGTTTATAAATTCCGCATTATTGAATAAGTGTTCAGGCAAGCTTATTTTGTCATCACCTTTGTAGTTTTACCAAGTGACCACTTTCTATATAACACTAATCCATTTAAAATAATTAAATGACTAACTGATCACTTTTTTACGCTTTCCATTGAATGGATTAATAACATAATTTTTTCATTAGTCACTAACATTTTTTGTTTCTATGTTAAAAAAAATTTATATTGTCCGTATGTTCTAGTTCCTTAATTGGCGAACTAATGAATCTTCTGCGGATTTTATTCATTATTCCTTTGAATAGTTATTTACCTAAAGATGTATTTCCCACGGTGAAAAGGAATATATGTTTTCTTTATTATCAAAGATATATGTTCCTCCATCTTTCATTAAAATGCGACCGCTTTATTTTATTCATTAATCACTTTGTTGACACCTAAAGCCTCGCTCATAACCCACTCATGAATTTGTTTTAAAAAATTAGGGGTCAAATTGACGGCATAATTTGACCCTATCTGTCAACTTCATGTTAGGAAATTTGTTACCACAGCAGGCTGCTGAAATTTGCACCAGTTCTTCAGACCTTGCAGCAGGCAAGTGTCACACTCTGTTGTCAATGACATCAGCATCTTTTGCTTCAAAAGGAAGTCCAACATCGTACATAATTCTGTAAGAAAAGTATTCACAAGAGGTCCTAAAGGATGCAATGGTTCCAGCCATAAAAATTCTGTAAGAAAAGTATTCACAAGAGGTCCTAAAGGATGCAATGGATCCAGCCATAAAAATGTCTTCTGTCCATCACCAAAGGCATACTGTATTACAGTATGCAGATAAGTCTTACCAAAAGGACGGTTTTTGGGACATGGAAAACTGGGGCTTATCATGAAAGTATGCTGGAAGAAATTGGAAAAAGAAAAGAAAAAGAATAGCATTCTGCTAAGTAAGAGGCTTAAAGAAAGTGATTGTCGTTTTTGTTATCATCAATCCTTGTTAGGATATCAGCACGAATCGACATAACAGATTCGCCTGGAAATTAGTAGACTAACGATAAATTTTCTTTTATGATTAATCAGTTAGATGAAGGAACACTCTACGGTCCAGACAGAATAAGGTCAACCAACTATAGTGTCATTTAGGAACACGATTGATTTACTTATATTTGTTATGGTGACATTAAGAGCTGTTAACCAAAGAAGTGAATGAAAGAGCTAAAATATATCATACTAGAAGACCCTTTGCCTAGAGTCAGTTTCAGTGTCACCCTTCGCTCTTAATTCATTCATTTCCATGTTCAAGTTTGTGTGTGAACTGAAGGATTCCTGTCTAGAAAGGTCTCTATTGTGAACTTGTAATGCAAAAATAAGGTAAATAAATAAAAGGTAGATGATATTTTTTATATCTCAAGATGCAATCCGATAACTTCATGCCAAAATAAAATGAGATCGGCAAAAATTAGTTGATTGTGGGAGAAAGAAAATGCTGCAGCAACATGTAGAAGTCGCTGTTTATGAGACAAAGAATGTGCCCAATTATTAAATCAAGGAAAATTTCAGCAGAAGTCTATTGTATTTAATCTGCTTATAAACTTTTCTCATAAGCACAAGAACAAGAAGTTAGCTCACATATGACATGATTAGCCTTTAGGTGTCATCTTTCTACCGATACAGCATCTCATTTCTCAACTTCAGTAGATTACGCAGTTCCCTTGCGAGGGCATGCGACTAGCGAGCTTCAACAACAGTAGTTGTAACTCCGTTCACAGAATATGTTCTGTTACATGTCGACTGATTATCTCCATTGTAGGCACTGTCGTCGATGAATGCTGGCTGTTTCGGGGATGGAAGTAATACATCAGCGTTCCCCAACATGAAAACCACCGTGGACATAGTTGGTCTATCCGATGCATATCTTTGCACACACAAAAGGCCGATTTGAATGCACCTCAATACCATTTCCTCATAATATGTCTTGTCCATTGATTTGTCAACAATGTCCATGCATTTTCCTTCTTTCCACAGCTCCCATACCTGGGAAGAACACATACCAAGCACCTTGGATTGTCATAATGTGAATGTAGAGGCTGGTCAAATTGTGCATTGCATTGAATAATATGACACTTTCATACTTACATGGCCAATTACATTGCAAAAGGGATTATTATGATAGCACCCATTATTTTTTTGGCCTGTAATGATCTCTAGCAATAAAACTCCATAACTGTAGACATCTGATTTTATGGAAAACCGGCCTTGGAGAGCATACTCTGGTGCCATGTACCCACTACAGAAGCCAAAAAGGATAGAAGTAATCAATATCTTATTCACTATATAAACTTCCTTGTCGAATTTTAGGGGAGATAACTAAATGTTGAAACGTTAGTACGAAAGAAAATAGTTCGAACCGAGTTCATTTTCTTTGTTCTAATTTCTCGCTGTCTAATCAAGTGAAGCAGAATTTAATGCTCAAGAAAAACACTTACTATGTCCCGATCACACGCTTCGTTTTTCCTTCAATTTGGTCTCCTCCACAAATCCTAGCCATCCCAAAATCTGATATCTTGGGGTTCAATGCAACATCCAGTAAGACATTGCTAGCTTTCAAATCTCTGTGGATTATCCTCACTGTCGAATCCTGGTGTAAATACATGAGTCCTCGAGCTACCCCATACGCGATTTCAAACCTTTTTCCCCAATCCAGAAGTGAGCTCTTTGTATCATCTGGATCCAATTTGGGGATTTCCTCAAGTTATTATCCTTAATACTCTCTCTAGAACTGAAATTCTGACCATTAGAAGAGAGCACTTACCAAAGAGGAATGAGTCCAAGCTTTTATTGGGCAAATACTCATAGATTAACAGTTTCTCGTCTTCTTGAATGCAGCAACCCAAGATTTTCACCAGATTCCGGTGTTGGAGTTTGGCAATCAATCTGACTTCATTCTTGAACTCTTCATTTCCTTGTCCAGAATATTTTGAGAGTCTTTTAACTGCTATTTCTATTCCGTGATTCATCACACCCTGTGAAAATGAACACGTCACAAGAATAAGTATTGAAACCTGAGAGAGATGAAGCCGGTCGCTAGAAAGCTATTATGAGTAGATTTTAAGATTTATTAGGTAGTTAAACTAGCCAGGATGATGTGTCGATTACACTCATTACAAGTTGTATGATCTAGAAAATTAGAGAAGCGACATAGACTTGTGCTGTTCTCTACTTATCCCTCATCTTTTGTCAGTCACTTCCTGGTTTTGTGATGACTGGAAGATCAGAATCGCTACAGAGACACCTCCATGGATTTAGTTTTCAACAATTTCAAAGTAGAAAAAGGTCCTTTACGATAAAAATGGCTCATTTCTGACAATTTTATTCGAGGACATCAATCCCCATAACCAACAGACGAATGAATTTGGTAGACTAAATATAGTTAATATTCAATAACCATTTAGATTCAGTCGCGTCGGGAGATTAATTACCTTATATACAGATCCAAAACCACCTTGGCCGAGCTCATTGACTGAGGAAAAATTGCTTGTGGCTGCAGCTACAGTTTCAAAATCAAATAGTGGTAGATCTTTTTTTCGTCCTCCTTCGCTGTTGAGGTCTTTGAGACCTGGAAGATCGTTGAAATATGCTGAGCTTGTTGTACCACTAACAAGAGGATTGCGCCCTCTTCCATCTGCTGTCATACAGTGGAATAAAATGGTTAAGAAAGACAATGAAAGCAATTGTGTAATGCTTCTTTTTTTGCTGTTCTGGCCAATTTGGGAAATTTCTGTACAGGAAGGAACAATACAAATTGTTCCTCCAACAATGACCTTATCGCTTGTTCCATAAGATCGATTCACATAGGCTCAATTTCAAGATGAATCGCCATACAGCATTCTCCATCTCTCTGCGTCTGTGCAGCTTTATTGGTCGAGGTTTGCGGTATTGAAATCAACCACCCTTTAGCCTAAAATCCTGGCTAGATTAGCTCCAGTTTAAATTTAATCGATTTCTTAACCCTGAAGATCGAAATAGATGCCTACTTGTAAAACAGACAGTAATAAACATGGCAGAAAAAGCTTCTATCAAGGCTGATCACCCACCTCTTTTCCTCTTCGACATAAGGCAGTATATAAGGGAGCCCAAGAGCAGCAACACTAGTGCAGTTACCGATATTATTACCACCATTACCTTCTTGACAAGAGGACTCCTTTTCCTATAGCGAACTGTAAAAATAAGGCATGAGAAGTGTGCCAATGACATTGAACAAGCAGATATTATGGATATTAATGCAACAAGTGCAGTTTATAAGATAAACTATCAGAAGCAAACAGTATCGTTAAGACGAGAAGTAGAGATTGGGACAACAATTACAACCCCAGAGCAGCAGCAAAAGTATTTGAAGTAGATATCAGCAATGAGTACCTAAGTCCGTTGCATCCACCCGCACATATAAGTCTTGACCGATGTCTGAAAATTCTCTTGTATCCACTAAATCTCCATACCATTTGAGGCATCCAAATTCCCCCATAGTTTCATTCGCACTCGAATAAGCTGTGCAACTGCAATCCCTCAAGCATTCCTGTTCACACTCCTTCAAGGTCAGGCTCATGTCGACATGTGCTGTTGAAGTGTCCGGCAACTTCACCCGTTTGACCTTCACGAAACCTTCCCCACTTCGACACAGTAATACATTTTGCCTCCTCTTGCACCCGCCTGATCCATCCCTTAGGTACCAATCGCCCGGAGACTTGGGCTCAAAGCCGGGCAGGCATGTGCAGTCGAACTGGTCTGCATTGTTTGCACCACAGTTGCCATTAGGCCCACACTTGCTGAAGTAGTCACACTGCTCCTTTGGATGGGAAGAAAACTCAGTCCACCGCTGCTCTTCATCGTGCCACATGAAGTGTTTAACTAACCCTGACTCATGCACCACATATCTGGAGAGAACCGATGCATTGATGACGGCATACATCAGAGAAACCTCGATCGCGTTATTGACAATTGTGACATTATAGATAAAATCGTTAGCCATCTTGGCAAGGCTACCCTGCCCTTTCTCAATTATTGGTCCGGCTCGCCAATAAGGAGCTCGATCCTTGTAAAGGACCAACTGTGGGTACCCTGTTGGTTCAAAATAGTATGAACAACTGCCCGGTGCTGGATCATCTTCAGATTTCCAAGATGTCATGAACCTGTTCAAACCAGTTCTCCGGTCCAACCCAAGCTTCATGGATGGAAGAAAGGTATCTGTGGGATAATCAAAGCTCTGCCAAATAACCACTTTGCTCAAATCATGTTTCAAAACCAGATTACCTGAATCCAAAAGCTGAGCAGTGGTAGAATTATTTAAAGTCATGGACGAAACATTGGTTGACGAAATGGGGAAGCTCCCATTGTTTTCATTGATCACTAAGTTTCCATAATGATCAAATGCAAGAACCCCTGAAGTGCTATTCACTGGATTCTCTCTGTTAGCAACCCAAACGACGGTTCGCTCCGGTTGTCCATAGTACCAAATCCCCACGTAACGCAAGCTTGAATTACCTGGGCTGAAGAAACCGAGAGCAAATTTTCTTCCTTGGGAGATTAAGACATCGCCATCTTTCACGGTATCGTTTGGGGCGAGGGTGTCCAAAGAATCAATCAAATGAAGCAGAAGAAATAAAACCAGGGTGTGCAATGACACCGTTTGTGTGCTCATGTTGTACCTACATGGGGGATGCAGCGTGCTTATGTTTCAGGCAAGAAAGCAGAGATATGGCTTTTGCTTCATAACCATCAAAGCAGAAACTTCTCAATGTGGTCGAGGTTTCAATTGATAAGAGGAACCGCCATTGCTGACCATCCTTCTGTCAATACTGTGGCCCATTGGAAAACGTGCCATGAAGCGGCCACATCAACGTCAACGTCACCCGTCCAAGATTGACTCTTCTTCATTCCTCTCGGGTTGCTCCTTTTATATATCCAATATAGTTTGCTTGCATTACTTGAATACCAGCGCATCTCTAGTCTTTTTATGCGGGCCGTTGATCGAGATGCATCATCACACAGATAGGTACTTCCATAGTATGTATTTTCTAGAGTTAGAAGTCAATGGAACATGCTTTGAAAAGAAGGGAACCAAGGGGGAACGCCATCTAATGAGCCAGTCAACATCCTTTTCATTTCACTTTTGAAAGACCCCCCAAAGGTCTAAGTTAATAGAATTGAATATTTCTCACTGTTATTGGCTGTTGAGTATGTATAATTAAGTTCGTGAAGGATTATGAAACAGGAAACGCCGTTGCTATGTCGATGCTGGAAGATGAGCAAGGCAAAAAAGAAATGAAATTGTTGTGAAGGGAGGTTCAAAGAAACAGAGACTATATATATGAATATATGATGATGAATGCAGGGGAGATCTTCAGAATATAGAAATGGAAGAAAAAGCAAATCAAATAACTAATTATTCGCTTTTTTGATTTTAACCCTTTTATTTTGTTTTAGAAAAGTCAAACCCAAAAAGTTAATAGGTGGGATATTTCAACGTTCCCCCTCACGTGGAAGTCGGATTGGGTGAACGAACACGTAAAATAAACTAAGGCACAATTTAGCTTTAATATTATAATATAATGTTCAATTCAAAAGTTTAAGTTAATAAATTGAGACAACACATATTTATAAAGAGTATATAAACCTCATAGTCAGCGATGGGTCGAGGGCTGAGTTGGGCCTTTGGGCTTTCTCTTTAATTTAATTATTTTAAGCCCAATCCTTACAATAACACGATGTCGAGGGGTACGATAAATTCGAGTGATTAACTTAGGTTATCAGTTTAAGGGAGCGCTGGATTCTATCATGCGACATGGGAAAATTGGATCGCGTTGCAGGTCTTGTTTTCTGTTTTGGCTCACGCTTCGCCAGTAGTCATGTTATACGTATAGTAGACTTGATCATTGCTCTGAGTCGGTACTGTCAGGCCTCGCTATTTCCATATGGTGAAGTAAAAGGATTTAATACCAAATCAAGTTTCAGAGCTCCTGGTTGCTGATCTTTTGAGTCATTGCTGAAGGAATGAGGCAGGCAAAGCTGTTAGCTTACCCAGAAGTAGTGACACTTCGCATGAACATCCAAATCTTATGCATCAAATTATAACAAAAAAAGAAAAAAATATGAAGTATCTGTACACATCTGCGCCCTACATTCTTTTCGTGGATAAACGTATTTATCAATTGTAACTCTTCTCATCACTCGAGTATTCTTCTCATCTACTCTCCGGAGCTGTGATGGTTATATCATTGGAAAAGTGAAGTCTTTGGACACTTGAGGATGAGTCGGTGCTCATAGCGAAGCTCTCAGCACTGAATCCCAGTTCCTTAGGTTGAGGAATGTCAGAAGTCTCGCTGCCCAACATAAGCACGACCGATGACATTGTCGGCCGGTCTTCGGGTCGCTGCTGCACGCACAAGAGTCCTACCTGGATGCACCTCATCACTTCCTTGAAGGGAAATTCTTCCCCCATCAGGGCATCTACTAGTCCAAGTGCATTCCCCTCGGTCCACAGTTTCCATGCCTGGATATACGTGAAAACCAAGTTAATACATATCATACAGCAATAGAAAAAGTGAAGACAGCATCCAATCCGAGCTAAAGCATAAGCAGGGAAATACTTACATGTCCCACGAGATTTGAAGTAGATATTAGCAATGAGTACCTAAGTCAATTTCATCCACCCGCAGATATAAATCTTGACCCGAGTCTGAAAATGCTCTTGTATCCGCCAAATCTCCGTACCATTTGAGACATCCATTTTCCCCTATACTTTCATTTGCACTTGAATAAGCTGTGCAAATGCAATTCCTCAAGCATTCCTGCTCACACTCCTTCAAGCTCAGGCTCATGTCGACAGCTGCTGTTGAAGTGTCCGGCAGCTTCAGCTGTTTCACTTTCACAAAACCTTCCCCGCGTTGACACATTGACACACCTTGCCTCCTCTTGCAGCCGCCTGTTCCGTCCCTTAGGTACCAATGGCCTGGAGACTTTGGCTCTAAGCCGGGCAGGCATGTGCGGTCAAACTGGTCTGCATTGTTTGCACCACAGATGCCATTAGGCCCACACTTGCTGAAGTAGTCACACTGCTCCTTTGGATGGGAAAAAACCTCAGTCCACTGCTGCTGTTCACCGTGCCAAACGAAGTGTTTAAGTGACCCTGACTCCTGCACCACATACCTAGAGATAATCGATATGCCATACATCAGAGAAACCTCCATTGTGTTCCTCACAATTGTGGTAGTATTAGGCATCGAGGGATTGCCACCTTGCAATTTCTCAATTATTGGTCCGCTCCGCCAATACGAAGCTCGATCCTGGTAAAGGAACAACTGCGGGTACCCTATTGGTTCAAACCTGCATGAATAACTGCCTGGTGCTGGATCATCTTCGGATTTCCAAGATGTCAGGAACCAGTTCAAACCGGTTCTCCGGTCCAACCCAAGCTTCATGGACGGAAGAAAGGTATCCGTGGGATAATCAAAGCTCTGCCAAATAACCACTTTGCTCAAATCATGAATTAAAACCAGATTACCTGAATCCAAAAGCTGAGCACTTGTAGAATTATTTAAAGTCATGGAGGAAACATTGACTGACAAAATGGGAAAGCTCCTATTGTTTTCACGGATCACTAAGTTTCCATAATGATCAAATGCAACAACTCCTGAAGTATCATTCACGGGATTTTCTCTGTTAGCAACCCAAACGACGGTTTGCTCTGGTAGTCCATAGTACCAAATCCCCACGTAACGCAAGCTTGAATTACCAGGTCCGAAGAAACCGAGAGCAAATTTTCTTCCTTGGGAGATTAAGACATCACCATATTTCATGGTATCATTTGGGCCAAGGGTGTCCAAAGAATCGATCAAATGTAGTAAAGGAAATAAAAACAGGATGTGTAATGACACTTTTCGAGTGTTCATTGTACTTACATGGGAATGCAGCACGCGTATGTTTCAGGCAAGAAAGCAGAGATATGCTGGAAGATGAGCAAGGCAAAAAAGAAATGAAATTGTTGTGAAGGGAGGTTCAAAGAAACAGAGACCATATATATGCATATATGATGATGATTGCAGGGGAGATCTTCAGAATATAGAAATGGAGGAAAAAAGCAAATCAAATAATTAATTATTCGCTTTTTTGATTTTAACCCTTTTATTTTGTTTTAGAAAAGTCAAACCCAAAAGGTTAATAGGTGGGATATTTCAACATTCCCTCTCACGTGGAAGTCGGATTGGGTGAACGGACATGTAAAATAAACTAAGGCATAATCTAGCTCTAATATCATAATAGGATATTAAATCCAAAAGTTTAAGTTAATAGATTGAGACAACACATGTCTATAAAAAGTATATAAACCTCATAGTCAGCGATGGGTCGAGGGCTGAGTTGGGCCTTTGGGCTTTCTCTTTTATTTAATTATTTTAAGCCCAACCCTTACAATAACACGTTGTCGAGAGGGGAACGATAAATTCAAGTGATTAACTTAGGTTATCAGTTTAAGGGAGCGCTGGATTCTATCATGCGACGTGGGGAAATCGGATCGCGTTGCAGGTCTTGTTTTCTGTTTTGGCTCACGCTTCGCCAATAGTCATGTTATACGTATAGTAGACTTGATCATTGCTCTGAGTGGGTACTGTCAGGCCTCGCTATTTCCATATGGTGAAGTAAAGGATTTAATACCAAATCAAGTTTCAGAACTCCTCCTTGTTGCTGATCTTTTGAGTCATTGCTGAAGGAATGAGGCAGGCAAAGCTGTTAGCTTACCCAGAAGTAGTGACACTTCGCATGAACATCCAAATCTTATGCATCAAATTATAACAAAAAAAGAAAAAAATATGAAGTATCTGTACACATCTGCGCCCTACATTCTTTTCGTGGATAAACGTATTTATCAATTGTAACTCTTCTCATCACTCGAGTATTCTTCTCATCTACTCTCCGGAGCTGTGATGGTTATATCATTGGAAAAGTGAAGTCTTTGGACACTTGAGGATTAGTCGGTGCTCATAGCGAAGCTCTCAGCACTGAATCCCGGTTCCTTAGGTTGAGGAATGTCAGAAGTCTCGCTGCCCAACATAAGCACGACCGATGACATTGTCGGCCGGTCTTCGGGTCGCTGCTGCACGCACAAGAGTCCTACCTGGATGCACCTCATCACTTCCTTGAAGGGAAATGCTTCCCCCATCAGGGCATCTACTAGTCCAAGTGCATTCCCCTCGGTCCACAGTTTCCATGCCTGGATATACGTGAAAACCAAGTTAATACATATCATACAGCAATAGAAAAAGTGAAGACAGCATCCAATCCGAGCTAAAGCATAAGCAGGGAAATACTTACATGTCCCACGAGATTTGAAGTAGATATTAGCAATGAGTACCTAAGTCAATTTCATCCACCCGCAGATATAAATCTTGACCCGAGTCTGAAAATGCTCTTGTATCCACCAAATCTCCGTACCATTTGAGACATCCATTTTCCCCTATACTTTCATTTGCACTTGAATAAGCTGTGCAAATGCAATTCCTCAAGCATTCCTGCTCACACTCCTTCAAGCTCAGGCTCATGTCGACAGCTGCTGTTGAAGTGTCCGGCAGCTTCAGCTGTTTCACTTTCACAAAACCTTCCCCACGTTGACACATTGACACACCTTGCCTCCTCTTGCAGCCGCCTGTTCCGTCCCTTAGGTACCAATGGCCTGGAGACTTTGGCTCTAAGCCGGGCAGGCATGTGCGGTCAAACTGGTCTGCATTGTTTGCACCACAGATGCCATTAGGCCCACACTTGCTGAAGTAGTCACACTGCTCCTTTGGATGGGAAAAAACCTCAGTCCACTGCTGCTGTTCACCGTGCCAAACGAAGTGTTTAAGTGACCCTGACTCCTGCACCACATACCTAGAGATAATCGATATGCCATACATCAGAGAAACCTCCATTGTGTTCCTCACAATTGTGGTAGTATTAGGCATTGAGGGATTGCCACCTTGCAATTTCTCAATTATTGGTCCGCTCCGCCAATACGAAGCTCGATCCTGGTAAAGGAACAACTGCGGGTACCCTATTGGTTCAAACCTGCATGAATAACTGCCTGGTGCTGGATCATCTTCGGACTTCCAAGATGTCAGGATCCAGTTCAAACCAGTTCTCCGGTCCAACCCAAGCTTCATGGACGGAAGAAAGGTATCTGTGGGATAATCAAAGCTCTGCCAAATAACCACTTTGCTCAAACCATGATTCAAAACCAGATTACCTGAATCCAAAAGCTGAGCAGTAGTAGAATTATTTAAAGTCATGGAGGAAACATTGACTGACAAAATGGGAAAGCTCCTATTGTTTTCACGGATCACTAAGTTTCCATAATGATCAAATGCAACAACTCCTGAAGTATCATTCACGGGATTTTCTCTGTTAGCAACCCAAACGACGGTTTGCTCTGGTTGTCCTAGTGCCAACCACCCCCCAAAAAAAAAAAAATTAAAAACCAGGAGGAAAAAAAAGAAAAAAATTTTTTTTTTTTGGGAAAAAAAAAAAAAAAATTTTTTTATGGTTTTTTTTGGGCAAAGGGGTTTAAAAAAAAAAATAAAAAAAAAAAAAAAAAAAAAAAAGGGGTGTAATATAATTTTTTGGGGTGTTTTTTTTTTTAAAAGGGAAGGCAGCACGGGTTTTTTTCAGGCAAGAAAGCAGAGATATGGCTTTCGCCTTGTAACCAGTAAAACAGAAACTTCTTAATGTAGTTGAGGTTTTAATTGATGAGAGGAGCCACCATTTGTGACCATCCTTATTAATTACCCTCACTATCAAAACTGTACCCCAGTGGAAAATGTACCCACGAAGTGGCGACTTTAGCATAACCTCTACTATCTTGTTGGAAATTGTGATCCATTTTCCATATTCTCTAGATTTCTCTAGAATGGTTAACAAACTTAATCTGAAGAAAACAAGAAGTGTCCAAGTTGAAGAGGAAAACTTGAAGTCAAAAACTAGGGCTGCTTAATCATGAAGAAAGAAGTATCATGAAAATGGACTACTAGAACCAAGCAACGTACAGCTTGTGAAACAAAGAGAAGAATAAGAACAGTTGAAGAAGCTTTCTTAGTCAAAACAAGCAGCAACAAAACAAATCTCTAAAATAAAAGATGAAAAATCCAAGTCAAAGTTGAAGACTCTCACCTGAAGAAGATGAAGGAACTTGGCAACAACAAAAATAGCCAACAAGTGTGAACAAGGAAAGTCAGTCAACGGAAATAGCTTCAGAATATGATTCTTGTAAAACAAGTATGCTTAGTGGTAAGAATATGAGGTGGCTTCCTTAGTCAACATGGGAGAGTAGGTAGATGATGTCTATGAAAAGGCCATAGCTCATTCATGTAAAAACAGTGTGGGGAGATGAGCTTAAAACTCCATATCATGATGCTCCCCCACCACATCTCCTCCTGACTTTTTTGTTACACTAGCTAAACTATCCTTGTCCCATAAACCTTGCCTTGCCTATATTCCTCAAAGTATCCTACCCTTGTCCATTCCTCTACATCAACTAGATCATACACACATACACTTGCACACATCAAAACACAAATTATTATTGATGTCAAAACCATGCTTCCGCACAGTCAAATTTTTAACCAGACTTTTCTTCTTTCCTCTTCGGGTACATTTTCTAGAGTTAAGGGTCAATGGGATATGTTTTAGGAAGTCGGGAACCGAGGGGAACCATTCAGTTAGCCAGTCAACATCCTTTTTCTTTCCCCTTTTGACAAACCCCATATGTTAATTGAGTATTATTGCTCATTGGTATTGGCTGTCGAGACGCAAGTAGGAAAGATGAAATTATTGTGATGGAATGTTGAAAGAAAGAGAAACTGACGTTTCAATCGACCTTAACACATAGCAGTGAAGAGTCCGCTTAGTCTTCTCTCTGTTGCATTCTGTACGCATACTGCTCCTCCACTGTCACCGAGTTCTGCTTGCCAAGGAAACTAAAACATCTTCAACACAGCCTTCATTTCCCTTATTGCAGCATCGCCAATATGGACGTATCCTTGTCTTCTTCCCTCCAATACGGCAATTACGCCACTGAACAAACTATGGAACGTAGTTCACACATCTTTGCTCTTGTGTTTATTGCACTAAGCTGAAGGAAAACCGAAAGTATTTGCAGTTGAAAGAAGAATGCAACCTAAAAATACCTTTTAAAAATCCAAGTAAGTGAAGAAGATGGAAACCAAGATAGACTAACTTGCCATCTTTGGGATCATCTCTCCATCAATTATGAGAGTGTAAATAGGATTTGTAAAGGCTTCTTTTTTCCCTTTGAAGAGACCTTCCAAACCTACAAATCCAATTAGGAAAGTTACTTTGCGGCTTATGGCTTCTTAAGACACACGTGTTTAGCTATTCACTTCTTAGGTTTTAACTCTTTTATTGTAATTGAAATCTTACCAAAAACTAGACCTGTCAAATGGGTCTAAAATCCATTTATGAGCCCCACATTTATTTAAATGAATCGTTAATGGGTTTTTTAAACATAAGAAGGCCAAAATATATGAGTCTTAAATGGGTATATTTTGAATACATTTACGACCCATTTAACAACCCATTATGAACAGCCCGGCCTCAGGATCTCACTCTCACCTCACGACCTTCTCTCCCCCGACATGTGCTCACGAAGTCCGCTCCCGCGATGACGGTCGAATACTTGGTCTTCGTCTCGTTTGCCTCGACGAATCAAGTCTCATAGCTCGAAGGGAGGCCGATCAGAGCGTACGAGCTGAGCTTCTTGTACTCGGTGGGGTTCGAAGGGACCGGCGTTTTTGCCTCCGGGTATTGGGTTTTCTCTATTTGCTTACGTTTTTGTTGAGTTTTGCCTACAATTTTGTTTTCGAGGGTGTTTGGGTTCGTGCTGCTGAATTGGCGATGTTTTGCT